ATATAAACACCATAAACTTTAAATTCCTTGACCGCTCTCATGCATTAATTATATATAGATGTATATACATTTGTATCAAAGAAAATATTTACAATTTTTTATTTGTATTACAGGTGCTAAGAGAAATTAAAAAGGTACCTAGTTAAATTCAACAAATAATATGAACAACCAGTGTAATTGTTATGGATAGAATGAAGAGATTTGCCGTATTTTTTATTATAAGGTATTTACTTTTGTAGTAATGTTTTTTATTTCATATAACTGTATTAAATAAGAATCTGTTACATAATCATATTGTAATAACCTACAACATTATAATAATTAAAATTGGATTTGTAGTGGTAGTCTGTATGGAATGGTCGCAACTATTCATTTGATTGCGGCGAAACCCCAAGTATTATATGTAGTTTGGAGGCCGTGTTTTACATTTTAAACCATATTTATTCGTAATAATATATTTTTTTCTTATAAGAAAATGCATCTAGTTAATATTTAGCCGAGTAATTAAGTAATTACACTATTATTTATCAACAATCCATACGATTTTCGAAAAAAATAGCTGTACGATGTAGATTTTGTTAAACTTATTATTGTTATAACTTTTTTATTAGTTAAGATACGACTTTTTACCCAATGACCTTTTCTATTGGTAATATTTTTTGGATTAAAACTACGTTTTAACCGATGTCCTATCTCGTACCGTTCTCGAGCTACAGTCATTTCGATGTATAGCGCGTTCCGCCATCTTTGCCCCCCTCCCCCAAGTTCTCGACCACCTGAAAAGTAGGCGACATTCGTATTTTGTATCACCACAGTCCATATTACAACTATCAGCAAAGATATTTGATATTACTTCTTTGCGACACTCACAAATTAATTCTACTTTCGGTAAAAAATCTACACGAAAAGTCCATTTTTACATATTTTATACAATAACTTGTTTATTTATAGAGATACGACCTCGGACTCAATGACCATTATTGTTGTCCACATGTTTAGGATTACAACGACGTTTTAACCGATGTTCTATCTTTTACTGTTTTCGAACTATCAGCGTTTTAACGCATAGCGCAAACCGCCATGTTTGCCCCCTCCCCCCCACCTTATCGACCACTTTTGAAATAGGCGACATACGTAATTTTGATCACCACAGTCCATATTACAATAATCAGCAATAACATTGCGTACTACTTTCATGCATGCTCAACCCCCCTCAGCTCCTGGACTATATACACTTTACGTGATGACAGTAAACAGTTCTTTAATTACTATAGAATGTCTGTTGAAAGTTTCAGTTTTTATTATAACCGGCTGTGGCCTTTTTTAGCAATGAAAACAACACAACTCACACTGAAGTTCACTGACTCCTGTGGAGAACATCAAGCGACTGGCCGAGTTTTTAGACGACCGTGTGCGCGGACTGATAACAATCTGTACGTTAGAGATTTTCGGGCGACAATCGCCTCGCCTACGAATCTGTGGCAAAACCCAGATTTTAAAATCGGCGCAATTCTCGATCGCCTGTGTGCGCGCTTCCATTCAAATACATGATGCACAGATCGGCCGATGAAATAGTTGCCTCAAAATAATCGCTCGTGTGCGCCTAGCCTTTTACACCAAAAACCCCGATGAAGAGTTCACCTTGGTGACAAATCTCCTTTCCTTGGCATCTCTCGGAGTTGTCCACACAAGTTTGTAGACTTGGGTGATTGTATAGGTACTTACAACTTTTTCATTCAGTGAGGATTTTACAAATCGATAAAAACAGCTTCAGTCAATTGTATAAGCATTATTTGAGTCATCATGTTAGAAGGCCAATGACCAGTCCTTGAAAAACGTCCAGTCACAAACAAATACCCACTTAAAATGCACTCAAGTAAGCATGAAGAACAATATTGAGTTTTTATGAGCTTGATATAACGTAAGTCACAATTGATTATTTATCAAATAGTCACATATGTCTGCATAAGTCACGTGCTCTCACTGAAAATTCACGTCAAATATTTCATTATTGGTCCTGTGTTTCTCTGTACATACAGTACTTTATTTTCAAAAACAATTCGTCTCGAACAGATAACAACAAATATAATATCAAAGAAATAAATAGCAATAATAGCGCCGATTCGAAATAAAAATTAACCATTATCTAATACCTAAGTAATCAGATGAAAATTTTCAGATTTTTGACCTAATATACAATAAAATCATAAGTTTTGGGACCAGTGAGTGGTTCAGCTTTGGCCCAAAGTGCGAGCATATTCTCCTTCCAAACTCAAACCTTACTCTGGAAAAGTAAAGCAAGAGACTTTTATGGCGTGTTTTCCGTTCAGACACCTCTTTCGGAAGGAGAGCATCTCAAGTACTGTGGTACTCCTGTAATACGAGAGCCTTGTATGACATGTAGGGCGTCATGATCCTGCAAACAGTGTCTACTGCTGTCATCCCTGCTAGCTCTAAATGAAGTGACATGGTCAAATCATTTTTAGACCGAAAACTAAACGAATTACAGATTTCAGCCATTTTGTATTCTGCACAATCTCTAGAGATAGTGCTACAATTAGCAGAGGGACAGTGGGTAAACTCAGTCAGGACTAGGGACTGATTCTGATAGCAGACTTTTGAACCTGTGCACTGTGCAGAACTCTCACTTCCAGAATCATGTATGACATGGTCAGAGAAGGTGAGTAAAACCCCCCTGTTACAACACTCACTTCTATTTCACTAAGTCACGTGGCGCTTGCCAGTTTTGTGTTTTAGCCCTTTGCTTCTGACCACCTGAGGATATTTTAAGTCATAACTGATGATTTTGATTGAAATTCCCTTCGGTGATGTAGGACAAGTGTAGCTGTGAGTCATCACAACAAATTAACTGTGCAGCACAATGTTGTACACAGCTTGGAATGTCCGCAGTGAACAAACTCAACAAATCCGGCCCAAGGCAGCTGCCTCGTCGAATTCCTCGAGCGAGTTGATGTTTCTTCCACTCTAACTTCTTCCTTCTTCTTCCACTAACTGCGTAACCTACAGACCGGAGTCTAAATTCTCGTTGAAGCCATAATATTTGATTTTCCAAGAACATAGGTCTATCATGGTTTGTTGAATCAAAGGTCTTGGAATATTCCAGTTTTACGAGAAAACTATATTCACCATTGTGTTGGGTATCAATTATTTATTTGAATATTAATAAGCTTGGTAGGGCTGTATACGTGTTGTGGTTAGGCCTAAATCCTGACTGTAATTTAGTAGAAGTTGTATAGCTACATTTTGCACGTAGCTACTTATTAGTAGGAGAAAAGTTATCTTTTCTAATATACTTGACATGGCTGGTAATATTGAGATTGGCCAGGTCTTCTACTTTTTACCATTGTAATTTTGGGCAATAGCTGGATGGGCCCGGACGTGTATTTTGAACGACATTGGAAATGTACCATTAACCATTCGTTGCCTTGTGATAAAATTTACCAGATGAGTAATTGGTGTAGTTGCATAAGGATGACAGATTTTATAATTTCGATTGAAATGCCATCATGGCCCTTTGATTTCGTGTTGATCAAGTTCATTGCGTCCATAACCTCTTCTTCACTGACATTCAAAAGATTAGAATAGTACTGTATTGCGAATACGTAAAGTGCATCAATTGAAGATGTATTAGTTTTGGATGATGTCGTATTTTGTTTTGCAGAATTCCTTGTTTTATGTAGAATTGTAGTTTTGATGAATTGTATTTGATCGTGTGTTTTTGTAGTTATAATCGGATGTGGTAATCTTTACATTGGGACTTAAATGAACATTCAAGTTCATTAAACATTCAAGTTAACAAAACTGTTTTTTCCCTTTTAAGTAAACAGTGTGTAACATGTTCTCATGTAGTTTGAGGGTAGACGAAACAATTTCTACAAGCATATATCCAAACAAATGACAGCAAATGTGTGGGTTCGATCCTTGGAATGACTGCAGGTTGTGTTATGATGTGAAACTGGACCAAATTTAAATCAGAGTTAAACCATCTCACTCTGTCTATACTCGTGGTGCATATATGCTTATTTAGATTAAAATAAGTTTAGTTGTGTTCCTAATAAATCATGTAGTTATAGATTTTTATATTTTGAATGTGCATGATTTCCCAATTATTGCATGTCTAACGAAAATCCGTACTAGAAAAGTGGAGAATAGCTGTCTTCTCTAGTATATTTGACATGGCACTGTATATTTACAGATAATGCCTTTGTTATACAACACAATCACAAAACAAAATAACAAATCATAAAACCATAATAATACATCCATCTAGCGTTAGGTCGAAATGTATACTCGAAAACTAGGAATTGATTGTTCGAGCAAGGAATAAAATTGGCATCAATATTTTAATTAGGATTGGTTTGAATTATACATATAATCAGTTTTTTATTAGACACAATCGACTTTGATTGTCAATCTACAGAAATTGTACATTAATGAAGCCCGATATATTTGTATATAGTTGGAGTATAATGCGCTGTTAAGTCTTGTGTCAGTGAACCTAGTAATTACGTGAGTTAGAATGACATTTTTTGCGCTTTCTGTACTCAGCTTTACACACATTATCAATTAAAATTTGGGATTAATTGTTTATACAAATCAGTTAATAAGAAATTAACAAACACATTCAAAAGTCACTGTAAATCATAATAGTGTGTAAAATAAATAATAGAAACACGACAGATGACAGCACACAGAGAATCGCATTCGTGTTCACAATGTTTTTCTTATAATAGGCCTAAAATAAGTCTGCAGGCTAATAATAATTATATGATGCTAGTGAATCATAATTAAATTAATTTTACAAGTCGCTTGTTCAAATCTGAGCAGAAAGCCCAAATTAATTCGGTAAAAGACTTCCTTATCATTTTTCAATCGCAACCCTTGGAGGAAAAAGCTGAATATAAGGAGGAACTTAACCTAGTTCAAAAAATGTATCAAAGAATAAAACGATAAAATAGAAATCTGTTAGAAGTTCTTACCAGTATCGCAGAATTGGTTAATCCTTTGTTTTGGAAGTGCAGAAAACTTCAAAAATCGTAAAACTAATCATTGCCAATAATAATGTTACGAGTGCTTCGTGAAAAAGCGTGCCAGTTTCATTTTACGTTTTTCCCGAAGACAACTGCTAATGAATTTTGAAAATGTAACAATACTCGTATATTAGTGCGCCGGAAGACGCGCACACGGTCGGCGGACAGCGGTAACTAGAGGACGAGTAGCGAGCGACTACACACAGAGTGAGTACACAGACTAGCTAGCGATCAGCTGATGCCCCCTCCCCGCACCACACCTGTACCTCCCGGATCTGGAACCGGTACCGTGGTCGGTGGCATCACCGCACGTCGGGATCATCTTTACCCGGAACCGTACGCGTCTCGTCGGCCTCGCCCCACGCCCATCCAACCACCTGGGGCCTCTACTCTCCTCTCCTCCTCTCACAACTCTACACTACTACACACACTCACACTGCATTCTACAGCCCGTAATGAAACCGGCGGCGCGGCCCCGCGTATGTATACTACTCTACAGTGTGTGCGATCTGACAATTCACACGATTGACGATGCAAATATTCTACTAACATGATTTTAAATACCATAACTATTTAGGTGTCGGTGCAAATGAGTTTTAAAATATGATAGGAATGTCACAACATGTGTTGTTATGTGTAATCCAAAGATTTTAAATATTTAAAGCGAGACTGAAGACGTGGAATGGATCAACAAAAAGTGTATTTTATTTTTAGGTGCCCATAAAAGAAATATAACACAATATTTACAACCCACGATATACGACCAAGCTATGCTTTTGTAAAGCTAAAATAAGTATATATAGGTAAAATGCTTTTTAGCGCATAAACACCGAAATAGGAAAAAGAAGGGTACTTCAGTAAAATACGCTCTAGTAAAGTCCGCTGCTAGAAATACGTGACTACGATAGCAATGTTATTCCTCTCACTGTATATCCAATTTGGGGATTCTTATCAGTTAACCTTATGTCATTTGCATCCTGCTCCCAAACATTTTTTAAAAAGGCTATGCAATATTGTTGTTTTTACGTGTGCATGTTCGCTTTAAGCTTTTATGGGGCTTTGTTTACCTATACCAGGGGCATCCCATTTTTCACCTTTATTATTGTTGCTGTTATTTCAGCTTCTTTTGGTACACCTGAACTTATTTCGTTTGTCTGCTTGGTATTGCTCCTCATCTCTTCAACACCTTCATTCTTAATTTCAACACCTTCTTCTGACAGCTCTTGTTCGGCCTCTCTATGAAGTAACCTTTCAAATAATTTGTTCCATCTCTTAATTTGTTCAGCACCTTTAATTGTAGCGAATTTCCCAAATAGGGAATAAGCTATTACTGCAGGTCTCATGGTAAGACCTGGGCCCGGGGCTGATTTACTTTTCGTTTTGATGTCCCTAGATGCCAAAAGCACCATCTGGTCAATTTCATATAAATATATACACAAAATGTATATACCCCCCCCCCATGCCCGATTTCGATTAAATGTACAAATGTGTAAACCCACATTTATTCAAACAAGTTTGCAAACCAGCATGGTCAGGTCAGACTATGAAAATGGGGGTTTTATGGGGTAAAAATTTGATTTCTAATTTATGTTCCATTAAACATAGAATTTTCCAATTTCTCTCTAAGCCATTTAAAATATAAAATTAAAAAATGTGAATTTAATATTCCCAAGTTATTATGCTTATTGAGAATAAAGTAAACTGTTGTCGTTTGCTTATTTAAGGATATATTTTGATCAAACTTTGCAAATTAATTTAGTTCATACTAATCATACTTACTAAGACTTTAACATTTTACTTAAAAACAAATCTATTGTTGCTTTGTTCTGGTGCATCTTGAGCTCCTTTTGTTCTTAACTTTTTAGTTTTTACACATAGTCTTTTGCCTCTTAAAGCTATGCTTTACTTTTCTATGTATTTTGTTATGGGTACGCTTTTCTTTTTCCAACACCCCAATATTTATATACTGTAACAACAGTCATAAATTTATTTTAATCCATTATATTTTATATTTCCATACTCTTCCAGAGTTTCAGAGTTGTTTCTGAGAGGAGCTTCTTACTCTAACTGAACATTCTGTGAGATACTTTTAAACTTATATATGTGATTGTCTCTTCCACAGTCTGTTCCTCTCCTTGCTCTTCCATCCACAACTTTTTGATTGAAATATTATCAATCAGTTCTCTAAATAGTCCACTACAGGGTTAGTCAAGTGGAGTTCATTGCCGGAAACCGCGTCCAAAAAAGTTCATCCGTTACAAAATGGCAGCTGTCCAAAGTTCTTGTGAAATATACCTGCACAGGCCTTAGTATAGGCAAATACTCGTATTAAACATTAGCTTGAGAGCTTAAACTGTATTTTAAAGTCAACTAGCTCATAGACTACTAGTATTCAATCTTCAAAACAAATTTAACTGGGTTTCAGATTTCCCTGCTAATGTTGACTATTACTATGTATCAATCCGCAAGAACTTTGAACTGCCGCCATTTGGTAACGGATAAACCTTTTTTGACGCGGTTTCCGGCAATGAACTCCACTTGACTAGACCTTTAAAATGATGTGCATATCAACCTATGCTTACATTAAAGATTATGTACCTACTCTTCGTGGGCCGTGAAGGTCAAATAATGGCTATGATTGCAAAAAGTAGTTTTCATACATATTAGTTGATGTGCAAGGTTTGAATTTTCTAACGAATTTAGTTAAAAAGATATTGAACCGTTTCCAGACTTTTTTGTCACCCTGTATATATCTAATATACTGTATCATCGACATAGTTTGTAGGATCACCAACCCCAGACAAACCTACACTGCTCCCAATGCAAACTCTCATACAAGTACCTGTAAAGAAGTCCTGAAGAGAGTATAATTTGTTTTCTATTAAGATTGTTTTCAGTTTTGCCTTAAATGTCCTTGCATTGTTTTCTAATCTTAGTTCATCTGGTAGTGCTTTAAGAAATTTGTTCCCATATAGGTGGATTTTTTAATTAGTGTATATAAGTGGAACCATTGACTTTTGGATAATGAAGTAGACATCCCATTGATATATTTATTTAGCTGTCACAAATTTTTGTTAAAAAAGAACATACCTACTATTGAATGAGTCAGTCAAAGAGTATACCGGTACCTAATTCTAAAATTCTATTTACAGCAATACCATATTTTTTGTTGAGATAGTTGATGTGACATAAAACGCTCGAGTCGTCCTATCAGACTTGGTTAAAAAGTGCATGTATTCAACTGCATGTAGACCTATTCATGAAAAAATTTACATCAGCGCGAATTGTCAGTGGTCCAATTCAACTAAGCAGGCCCGCATTTAATATGTGATGGGCTATGGGCCCAAGAGGTAATGGTCGAAGGTAAATAAAATCATAAGCAAAAACACGGCAGTATATTTATTTGCTAACTAATAGATAATATGTTTCTCACCTGTTTTGACAAAAGTAACTGACATTAACCATTTGAGGTTGAATTTTTTTTCATTTTTCGGCGAGTATAGGTTGCCATTTGAGCAGTCGGGAAAATGACACCCAGCAACCTGTACTCACCACTCGACCGCAAAGGGTTAATGAGTAATGATAAAAGTATTTTAAAGTCAAGTTAGTAAAAATTGACTTAAGCAAATTTAGATTATAATTTCATAGCTTATATTTTCAAAGGGTGGTTTCCCTTAGAATTGTTAAATAACAGATATTGTACTTGTATATTATGCTTATGGCATGGATACTCTAAATAAGTTACCTTAGTTTTAATTTGGAAAGGCTGGAAGGAAATAAATTGTATCGACAAAGCTGAATCAATCCACTTTTTTATTTTGAAAAGGTAATGTATCTCTCTTTTCAATCATTCTCAGATGTTTCTTCTTGATCTTTGATGGATTTTTAACCTGCAACAAAATTAAGTACTGTATTTTCAATAAGTAAAAAATAACTAAGAAATAACGTTTTCTAAATACCTATTTAAATATGATTTAGTTCCTGGTATATTGACACTTTAACAATGGTTTTGAATTTGCGTTGAGCTGTTAAAGAGTTGTTCTGTATTCTATAAAGATGAGTGCTTACTACTTGTGCAAAACTGAGGTTGAATAAGAACTCAAAATTAGGCATAGGCTATTTACACTTTAACCATTGTTTTGAATTTGTGTTGAGCTGTTGAAGAGTTTTTCTGTATTCTATAAAGATGAGTGCTTACCACTTGTGCAAAACTAATGTTGAATAAGAACTCAAAATTAGGGGCCTCTCCTTAGAATGCTCAGCAACTGAGGAAACGAATGTCCTAAGCATTGTCAAGTAATACTTTTGTTGATGAAGCTGCTGTTAATAGTTTGGATGCTGCATTTAGAATTAGAGAAATGTGAGGACAAGTTTCTCGATTTATCATCATTATTGGCAGATAATGAGGGTAATTTCAAGGATAATGAATTCCAGTGGCTTATTGCAAGACAGTGGCATCTTTACTACCATATTGAAAGAACTCAGTCTGCTGCTTCTATAGATGTGGGATCTCGAACAACATAAATCAGTACTTCCTGCTGTTGTGCGTAGCCAAAATTGTACTGGGGGATCAACATTGTCCCAGCAGAAAACCCTCCTACAAACAAGCCCTGTTTGAGGTGGCCTGTAAGGTAAAGTGCTCAAGGAACTCGAGCATATCCACAAAGAAGTTTACGAGAAATCGAAAGAAGCTCAACACCAACATGTAGTTCCAGAAATAGAATTGTGGAGAGCAGCGATTAAATGGGGCAAGTACAGATGTGACTCCTAAGATGGGACAGCTGGTCCTCCACCAACTTTGACTCAACAGTTAAGACCACAATCGCTGACTGTGGAAGACAAATTGGAAATGATTTCTTCAGGGATCCTAGAAACAGAAGAAGTCAACAGTTTGTATCATTATCATTCTATAAAGGAAACTCTTCAAACTTTAAGTCAGTTTTCAAATGAGAAGAAACAACTTGATAGGAGTTAGATAAAGCCTTGAACCTATTTGATCATTTTAAAGAATTTTCTTTTTAAAATAAGACGTAGGAATTGGTTAACTAGATTTTGTCCCGTGGCGGAATTCGCTAACTCTGGAAGTCGCTAACCCGGCCGCGCCCACTGCACGGAGCGTTGCCAACCTTGTATGACGAAATAATTGTACACTGCCGTATTTAAAAATGGCAGTGTCAATAAAGATGCAGTAAATGTTATTGTTTGTTGTTATCAATTCCACTTTTAACAGCTACCTTGCCCAAAATAATTAAAAGACAATTTAAAAAAATCATTAAACAGTTATTTTTTTATTTAACTGTACAACGGCCAATTAAAAGTTTATGATTTTGATCTTAAATAAAATGCCAGTATTATAGGAAAATAATAGAATATGAAATATATTGAACATACAGTAGTACTAATTAAACATCTATGAAATTAAGCTAAAATACACTCAAGGTCTCAAACACAGAAAACAAATTGAATCGTAATAAACCAAAACCATTAATTAATACAGTAATTAACTATCATAATTTTCATAAATAATTCATAGATTTAAAATTAAAGGTTCGTCGTTGAATTGTCCATCTTATGTGTAAAAATATGACAAAGGCTAGTATGCATAACAATTTATAGAATATAGCTGTAAATCTAGGCCTAGCTTAAATAAAAAAAATGTAGGCCTACTAGTAAAAGCTAGTTCCCATATTCTAAAATTTGTTGAATTTTTTAGTAATAATGTTACATGTTTTAAAAACAGTTTTTAGATTTTAAACCTAAGCCACACTAGTAAATAATAGGTTCCCATACGTAGGACGGGCCAACAGCTAGTATATATTAAAACATGACAGTGTTATTTATTTCACGATTCTTAATCAACGAATTGACAGATTTTCCTGATTTTAGTGTTGAGTTTCCTTTATATTGCTTTACAATCGAAATAAACTATACCAAGCCATTGCTTGGTTCCCCGTTCCCCGGTACTGAGCTACTCAATAGACAACGGCTTTGTTGTTGGATAAAATCAGCTAATTTTAGCTATGGCCACCACTCATAAAAATGGTAAAGTACTGAAAGACGTTAAATTAATATTAACTAAACAAAATTAAGAGGATGGCCTGTTCTACACTATAATATACGATAACAGAAATTTACAAATTGTATTTATGGACAGACTAATTTTTAATACAATCCATTAATACATTACCACTTAATAATGTATTGATTAATATTCAATTAAATTCAATAGCTCTATCTAAAAATATATTTAACACTAATACAATGTATTTCTGTAATGACGTTTAACTTGTATATTTTATCAGGAAGATAATCCTAAAAATTCTAGGCATAAAGTCTACGGCAATTACTGGAGCTTTTTTTACAATGTCTAATTGTTGGTTGCCTCGAATAGTATATACTATTACAATACTGCTTCAAATTTTTGTTAATACATTAAATGTTTCCAAACAACATAATGTGTGAGAACATTTCAATTCCTTTTCTTGAGTAAAGTATAGATGCAATATTGTAGTACATTGTTAACATTTTAGATTTCCAGTTAAATCATGTGCCTGCTATACAAAAATATTGAAACTATTTTATTTGCTTACTAATAATATGATTTTCAATTATTCCGGTAATAATACAGAAATATTAAGAAATACCCCCGCCGCAGCAAACCTGCAGACTAAGCGAATTTCAACTTGTCTGATTACATTTTTACTAAAATATTTCTATAAATAAGACATAATTATTCCCAATTTAAATAACATTAGATTTAACAAGTGCTTAGGTTTGCTGCTCCGGGGAAGGTAAAAAGTGTTTTTTGACCATATGTCAATAGTATAGGATGGAATAAATAAATTTGCCAAATTTTATCAACATATATCCATAAACAAGTAAACTACAACAGTTTTCATTTTCTCCATAAGAATAAGATGGGAATTTTAAATTACGCTTTTTTTTTATTTTCTCCGTGACCGTTAGGCATACAACAGCACTTCAATATACTAAATTATTTCTTTTTTTAAGCTATACAAAATGGTTGAGAAAGAAATTGCAAGAATTTTTGTTTTTAGGGGGGAAAATGGGAAAAACCCATTTTTACCCCATAAAACCCCCCATAAACCCCTGTTCCCATGGTCCGATTATGCTGGTTCGCGAACTCGTTTGAATAAACGTAGGTTTACACGTTTGTACCAAATTTCATCAAAATCGGATCATTTTTGCTCGAGTTATCGCGCTAACGGACACATATATAAATATATATATATATAAATATATATATATATATATATATATATATGAATTTGAACGGATGGTGTTTTTGGTCTCTGGGACCTCAAAACGAAAAAGTAAATCGGTCCCGGGTCTAGGTCTTACCATGAGACCTACGGTAATAGCTTATTCCCTATATGGGAAATTCGCTAAAACCAAACTATTGTTAACACTCGCACGACAGACATAATAGGCCTTTATAGAATCAAATATAATAACCTATCAAGGAAAAGGATTCAAGGTTACAAGCTAAGCTCAGTATACAAAATACGAACTTAATCATTTTATTTGCAGAAGCTCATAAAATGGTATTAGTGTAATTCGAATAAAAGAAACAAATGATCGACTACGAAAATAGATATTTCATAACCTGTAAAAGATCCTAAATAAATGTACAGTACTATCTTTTTGCATCTCAATAAACTACTATCTAAGTAAGAAGACCATAGATAAAACATACTCCCTTATTAATACATTTCTCATCCTTAAGGTCCATTTCCTATCCTGACTGTTACGACTCTAGCCGCGCGGCTCTAGCCGCACGTCTAGAGCCGTACGGCTGGAGACGCTTGTCTCAATTCCTATGCCGCGACTCCTACGACTCCCACGACTAGTGACTTGTGAAATTGCACTACTGACCGTCATGGAATAAGCACAGTTGGCAGCGAATATATTACTTGGAGAAAGGGAGGAAAAGGAATTATTAATGTGCATGGTAAAAAACAATAAACAACCTAATCCATTGTTCATGGTACGGTGAAAATAGCGGTTTCAGAGTATTCCTATTCAGAGACATCTTCTTCAAGTATTGGGGGTGAACGTATGGGTGGTGACGAACCAGTTCCATTAACTTTGAATCATCTATGAAGGTACTCACCTCAAACTTCGTATGTATAAACTATAAATTCGTTACAACCGCGCGACTGAACTGCTCACGGAGCAGTCCAGTCGTGACGGCTCTAGCCGCGCGGCTCGAGTCGCTTCGGTCGCGCGGCTGTAGACGCTCGATAGGAAACGGTTGCATTTACTTTGCATTAAAGCAATCATTTATTTCAGCCGCGCGGCTCCAGAGACTAGAGTCGTAACAGTCGCAGGATAGGAAATGGACCTTTATAGATCAGTTGAAGACAATTTTATTGTTAGTTCTGTCTGGTGCACTGTCTGTAGAGGTCGGGTTTTGTTTACAATTAGTTTCTTGTTTTCAGTAATTTAAAACCTCGTTTAACAAAATAAAACGTTCTAATCACAACTAATAACACGTCCTCTAGTTATATAACCAAACAGTAGAGAACAAATCATGAAGTAAACAATAAAATAATGGAAACTTAATTTCCTCGACACTAGCGATCAGTGTCACCGGACATGAACTAGACACGAAAAACGAGCTCCAAAATGGATGCATTGCACGACGTCCAAGTGCCACGACGTCCAATAATATTTATTCAGTGCCATGACGTCCAAAACATAATTTTTGAGCTGTTGCACGACGTCCAAGTGCCACGACGTCCAAAAGTACAGTAACTGCCAAAAATATAGTCGTTCTACAAGCTTTGGACGTCGTGGCACTTGGACGTCGTGAAACAGCGCACTATAGAATTGTAAAAAAGTAACATTTGCACGACATCCAAAGTCG